GCTCGAGGCGAGCCCGGCCGCGCCGTGCGGCGCGCTGGCTCTCAAACGAGACACGGCAGCGGGGAAAGCGCGCAGCTTGCCCCTGCGCGCGGCCCCGCTGAAACCTGGCAGTGGGAAAGGGAGAGTGCGGAGCTTGCGGCTCTGCGCCGCTTCTGAGTGCGGTTCTGGAAGGGAGTTAATGGGTCTGCGTTCCAGACAGGTAGAAACGTAAGGCCCTGCTCTTGTGAGCGGGCGCGCCTCTAAATGTCTTAGACTGCGTGCTAAGAAATGTGCACCAGCCTGTCTGCTAGCAGGAACGGTGTGAAACTCATTAGGAACTCCGCATGCTGCCCGCGTGTTCATTGCTGCTAATGACAGCAGTAGTAAACAAACCCAAATGCCTTTACAGGCCCCCGAAAGTAACGTGTTTCCTTGACTGTTCTTACATTCATACATAATAGATTCTATAATCCACTTTATGCAAAGATTTCATATTCGGAATACAGTATTTATTGCACTTCTCACTTTATTTCCTGGTGAGCTTTGTCCAACAGCTGTGTGTCAAAATCATCTTTAAAACGGATTCTGAGTATTTTCTTTCTTTGCTATTAAGAGTAGTTTAGGGAAACTATTTTAAAAGTTCTTTCTGTGGTCTGTTGAGCTGCATGGCAAGTTGCGCTATTTTGTCTTTGTCTACTCGTGCATGTGCTTGCTGGTATGAGTTCAATTTGCTGGGTCTGAATGCGTTTCTGCAGTTCATTAGAAGCACATTCCCATGTCCTTCTGATCTCTCAAAGCAGCAATTTATATAAGTTAAAACTTAGCAATTTGGAGATTCTTGGAAGCCGTTGATTTACTTCCTGTGGCATTTTCTTAGTTCTCATTGTTTAAATAGCATTTAAAGAAAATGTGGACTTGCAGTGCATAAATTTGGTCAAAAAGGTGTGTATTTCTCCCTTATCTCAGCAGTTAATTCCAAAATTAACTTAATTTAACAATAGCTATATCCAGAATTATTTTAAATGATGAAACATAATGGGGCATTTGTTGAAAATTGCTTTTCTTTCTGCTAAGTGGATATCCACTTTGTTTACAGTGAGAAACTAGTATAAAAGGTGATATAAGCTGTGTCATATATGTCTTTTTTAATTTTTTATTAATTGAGAATCATTTCACTTGTACAGCCATTTGGGGTTTCTGTGAAATGGAGTTTGGTTTAGCATGTTCATTGATGAATTCATTGCTTTCAACAGAAAAAAAATTGTTTTGGTATTGCTGTTTTGTTGCTAAAAGCCTGTGCATTATGGAGTAAAAATTTTCTGGGAATGATAGGAATACTTTTGCTGAATGTCACTAAGGTTGTTAGATATTTAACTGTTAATATTTTCAATTTTCACTGTACAGCTACCTCAGCACAAAAGTTCTATTAACCTATTTATCAAAATGGTCTCACTTATTTGTGAGTCTTGGGCTCAAGATTATAAAAGTGAATTTAAGGATTTTACTTTCTAATCCCTCAGTGAAAGTGCATGACGTGTGATGTAGTCTTATAAATCTGACAGGAGCAGACTTATCACAAGGACTTTGTGATAAGTAAAATAACACCTTGTTGATCAGTCATGACATGACCCTGAAATAACTTTCCAGAGTTGTTTCTTAAATAAAAAAGTTCCTTTAATGTTTTAGCATGCCTCCATTTTCTTTTTCAAAAGTCCAGGCTCTTGCTATAATTACCAGTAATATTGAAACTTAATTTAACTTAATTTTCAAATATATTGCAGTGATGAGTGACTGAATCCTTTTAAGGATAGAATGACCAAAAAAAAAAAACCCACCTTGCATGTTTACTTATATTTTGATATTGCAACAGCATTTATATTTTTTATATTTTCTATCTGTTTCCTTCATACTTTGGAGCCCTTTAAATCTAGCGTATAACAAAGTCTTGCGTGCTAATAGAAAAACACTGCATTTTTGCTACAATAGTAAGAAAAAACCCTCTGGTTGTGTTCCTGATAATTCAAAACAGACTTAAGCTGTTTTCAGTTGCAGTGTCAGTCTCCTCTGCGTTTTTCATGCAAGGCATCTGTTTAACAATCAAATATAGAATTTCTTCTTTTATGAAATAATCTTTGCTGTTTGAATACAGACCTGTTGTCTGCAGTAGGCGCCTGCTCAGTATTTAGATGATTCTTGAATGATTGAATTTTTTTTTTCTCCAAGGCCTTTACTGCAGATCCCTGGAAACATCAGGCTTACTGAGAGCAAAGGAGAGGAGATTATTTTATGTCATCTCCAGAATTACATAAACCTGATTATGAGGTGGTAGCTCTCAGTATTCTGCACGGATATTTCCACGGAGCGCTGTTGATGTGGAAAACAAGCCAAGAGCTCTTCTTCCTGCGCACACGCTGCAGCCGGGTGCGTGGCGATCGCCTGTGTAGAGTTGCTGGTGCTGGCTCTAATTTCACCAGCAGCAGCCAGGCTGTGGGAGCGCAGCCCTCACCGAGGGGCTCTGCAGGCCTCCTTTGCACCTGGCTGGGCTGCCCGCTGGAGTCCGTAGCCTGCAGTGAAGCCCTCGTTCCTCTGTTTTGAACTGTTTTGTTCCTCAGGCTAGCAAATGTAATTGAAGTGCATCTAACCTGCTGCAATCATATCTTCTAATTGTAGTGCAGAAGCAGCCTGTGGACTGCTTCCCATCCTCCTGATGGAGGATTAGAAAAATCCTATTAGCTTATGAAAGCGTGAGGATGACCTTTTGTCAGAAATTTGAAAGATTTTTTGTAAGTATTTAAATATATTAAATGAAATGCATTAAATCTAAATGCAGTACGTAAAAAGCTGAACCAAGGGAACAGAAAAATATATTAAAATGGGAGGCTTGTTCCATGAGTCCAAACCCTTCAGGAGTCCTGTTGAAATCACTTCATCAGAGCTCTGGTGTATTATAGGTAATAAGCCTTGATCCTGCAATCAGGCTCTTCAGGCAGAAGTGCTCCCTTCTCAGTGTATATTGCACCTGTTCAAAGATTAACGCTCCAATCCGTGGCGACTGTCAACACAACTGGGAATGTGCTTGCAAAAACTGGGTGAAAACAGACATAGCAAGTAATTTATCATTTTGTCTGATACCAGACTACTAAGTCAGTAGAAAAGTAAATACATTTATGGGAAAAGACTTCTCCGTGTAGTTCATTTTTCAATCCTCACAGTAGGAAACACCTGAAAATGATGGTGCTTGCTGTTTGCATAATGGGGAGCAGTTGTTCACAGTGCCCTGAAATGGACGGCTTGTTGGGGTAATGGCATTTGACACAAGCCTCTGTTCTTGTGAGGCAGCTACGTAAATTCATTAAACTTGAGCTTCTAACCTGAGTTCTTTCAGGTGTCCTCAGAATAGCAACAACTAAAGTGACTCAAAGATACCAACAGCAATTCAGAAGGCCTTTGACACGTGCTGCTCAGCTAGAACATTAATTCTTGTTTTGCAGGTGAGCCCCAAGTAAGCAAGTAATTCTGTCACTCCAAAATCAATACTATATTTTGGAGAAAAGCACTTAAGTCTTTCAGTCCTTTGACCTATGCAAACATACTTCTTTGTGGGGGAGTTGTTGCTTTTTGTGTTTTGGTTTTTTTTTTTTTTTCCCTGCTCTTGTGTCTGACATTTTAGATTACTCTTTCAGCAGAGCTTTTATTATTATCAGCAGTGATGTAAGGCTTGTGTGCGTGAAGGGGGCAGCACGAGGACGCTATGGCGTGAGTTTTGGTCGTCCTTGCCCGGAGCGGGTCCCGCGCTGATGGGCGGTGAGGCTGCTCCGAAGAGCAGGTGCCGCAGGGGGAGAGCTGCTGGCCGAATATTCCCGCTGCCGCACGCGTGGAGCACGCGGAAGACAGCTTCCCCATACGGGGACCCTGGTGGCAGACAGCCGTTAAAGTCCAGTCTTGAAGTTGTGTGAAGTTACAGTTTAGGGCTGCTGTAAGGTGCTTAATCTGGCAATGACCGTTTAAACATGATCCCTGGATATCATATCCTGACGGTTCTTATTTTTACTTCTTCCTCTGCCTCCTGTCCTACCTCCCACACGTGTTAGCCCTCTACCGGAGAGGAGGCAAGCACAACCAGGGATGAGTTGCGTTTACTATTGTTATTTAAATAAGCTAGGACAGCTGCTCCGGATGCTGCTGCGGGCTCTCACAGGACAGGGATGTCCTGGGAATGGTGCGGGATGCGGGGCAGGGAGGCCGTGGCTCTGGGCCACGCTCCTCTGCGAGGAGCTGCGTGCCGGTGTCGCGCTCGCCGCCCTCCATGGAGCTCCCCAGGCCCTGGTGCAATCACCACGTGGCCCCATCGGGTTCACTCCTTGGCCTGTTTTTGGGAAGTGCTTGGGTAAAAGCTGGACCTAGGCTCCCCAGCAGGTAGGGCGGCCGCTCTGCCTGTGCGATGGGGCTCTTAGTTGTCGAACAGCCAAGTTGGTGCCTTGCTCCTGCTGAGACGGGGAGGGAACCGAGTGTTTAGGGGGCTCGGGGATTAGTGTGCGCCCTGCTGTTGGCATCTGGCTGGTACGTGCAGAAGTTAACTTCTGGTGTTGCACGGCGCTCTGCAGGAATGCGCATTCCTGAGCGCTGCCTGGTGTCGCCGTCAGCCACGCGCGCCCCATCCCCACCCCACGTCGAGCAGATGAGTGTTGTGCAGACTGGGGCCTGTCCTGGTGTACGTTTTGGTGTTTTATTGTACAGTCTGTTTTGAAGGAACGCTTTCTAACTGCTAGTGAACTTGTGGAGGATTTTGGCTTAGGACACAAAGCGCTTTTGTTTTTTTGATCTTTTTTTTTTTTTTTTCCCTTCCCTGCTCTCAGAGAAAGGAGTTACAGTTCTTTATTAAAAAGTTTACTTTTTATATGCAGGTAATCTGTTTCAGTATTTAGGTAGATATATCTCTTCTGGGCAATTAATTCTGCAGAAAGTAGAATCTTTCCTTTTAGATTTGAACTTTACCCCATGTACTTTGTAATGCTACTTTTTCTTCATCAGGAAGAAAAGGAGCGCTGCTGTGTGCTGCAAGGCCTCAGTTTTTATTGACCAATTACCACAAGCACTGCAATTTACAGCACAGCACCGTCAATGTTTAAAGTTCACTGAGGCTACAGCTCTCGCAGCCATAAAAATAATTTATATCTATGTGGGTATCAGTTCTTTTTTTTTCTTTTTTCTTTCCTTCTTTCCCCCCCCCTACTCTGGGACAAACCCAAGGTGGGGGTGCTCACAGAGGCTCACGGAGGCTGGACAGCCAGGACGGGCTGGAAAAGGGGGCCCTGGGACGCGGGGCCAGGGCGCCCCTCACCCTGCTCAGCCCTCCGACCTGCGGGCCCTGCCAGCTCCCAATCCACGGCTGTCATCCTCTCACTGAAAGACGGGAAGCATCTGTAGTTGGCTGCGAACGCAGCTTGGTTATCGTCAGCGTGGGGCACTGCGTGTGGGGCTCTGTGTGTGGCAGGGGCAGAGCTGGCCCTGGGAGGTGCCGCCGTGGGGCACGGGTGTCTCCTGCGTGGGCTCCGGCTGCCCCTGCCAGCGCTGCTCCCTCGGGCGGCTTTGCTGCGAACGCACCGCTTGGCAAATCATGCTGGAGGCGCCGCGTGCAGACACCGCTCCGAGAAAAAGCGAAACAAAAGCCCCGGTCTGTGTGCGCCTGGTTACCTAGCACCCGAGAAATAATAATTCCAGCTCGGTAATACTTTAAGGAAGATGTGGTTCATTTAAAACCCCATAAAGTTGTTCCATTGAGAGCAATCCTTCAGGCTTTCTGTAGGAAAAAAAATACACGGTGTTTATAAAAGCTTTAAATCTCTTGTATTTCAGATCGCCTTCATTTTGCAATTCTCTGCCAAAAACCAAAGAGTGGAGCTGCAAATGCCCATTATTTCTGCATAGATGATGAACTTGTATATGAGAAGTAAGTACAGTTATTTTATTAGTCAGAACAAGAGTAATGAGGAGCCACTCTAATTGACATTCTGTTTTTAATGCAGCTGAGGGAAACACATCATTCCCATTATAAAACTAATTATACAAGTTCTGTCCTCTCAAACTTATCTGCCATAGTGTTTTATACCCTTAGAATGGATTCCTGGCTTCCCTTCAGAATTTTTAAAAAATCTTTTAAAAGCAGAAGCTCTCATTACAATAGTTCTTGTTGTGAGACACAGGGACTTGTTGTAAAAATATCTGCACAGAAATGCTTTTTGGAGTATTGAGCTAAAGGGGATGTCTCTGCGATGTTCAAGTGTTAGGTGGAGTGTCTGAGCTTCCAAGAAATAGAGAAAAAAATGGCAAGCTTGAGACAAACCTTTACGAGCCAAGGATGGATATATGTCTCCTGTAGCGATGAATGTGTGCATTTGTATGTAATCTGAAATGCTAATGATACTTGAAACATTATTAACCATCAACATACTGTTTTTTAAATACGTTTCAGAGTTGAGATACAATGAAATTCACTCATGAATTAATCTTTACTCTCTATATTCATTCTTCTACAACACTACTGTGTATTGTATCTTTTTGTCACTGAAGTGTTTTGCCACAGGGTATACTAGGAAACTACATGTATCTGTACAAATACTTTTTTTTTTCTTTTGAGGTCCTAGTAATTATCTCTTGGGCTCTCAGGTTCTTAAAATAGTATTAAGCCAGTGCTACAGAGTGGTATTTTGGTGAGAACTTCTCAAGCCTTGAGTATTCTAGATATTTTATATTTTTGGAGGAGTTTTGTATAGAAAACAAAGGAAAAGCTTTCTGTTTCATTCCCTGTTGGAAGGTGACACAGCTGCTCTCTCCAGTAAAACAGTATGAATGCAAGAAGGCTGTCTTGTGTTTAGAATGAATAGAATGTATTTACTATAAATATTATTATTCCTTGCTTAGTGCATTCACTTTAACAAGAGAAAGCATTTACAAACATTTTTCTCTTTTTTTCCTACAAGCTTCTATGCGGATTTTGGACCACTCAATCTGGCAATGGTCTACAGATACTGCTGCAAGCTAAATAAGAAATTAAAGGTATCAATTTATTATTTTGTTATTACTCATTACTCTAATCTTTTTAAAAAAGAAAAATGCATGGGCCTGAAGTGTTTTTGCTTGAGTATTTCCCAGGGTTCCTCATCAAGCTCATTTTCAAATGTGTATGTTAAACTTTATCAAGGTGCATTTAGAGAGGAGGAGGGTCATGAGAGAAAGATGTTTATGTTGAAGGTAGATGTTGCACTATCATGGCAGTAACAGATATTAAACTGCTGGAAAACGGCTTCCAGTTGAGTACAGACTTTTCTGAATGTGAAGCTTCCCTACACTTGAATTTAGTCTCCCTGGCGATCTGCCAGCACTGTGTGAGCAATGAAACTTATTTTTATTTGAGATGGCTTGTGTCTGATGAGTTCCTCTTCTGGTCTTGACATCACATTTGTAAGAAGCAACATTTGGTCTTCAAATGATAGCATTTATGGCATCCTGAAACAGGCTGGTACACTCCCATATACTGCAGGAATTGAAGGTTATCATCTCTGAGGGATCTGAGGGCTCAGTAATCTGCAGGATGGAACTCACGGTAGAGCAAAGTGTCTTTAAAAGAGAGAATTTCCTGTGTTAATTAAAATGAACAACTGCAAGTTACTTGACCTCTTAACAGAAAGTGTAGTACAAACCTGTTAGGCAGATAAAAAGCTCGTTAGCATTAATGTCAGTCACTCTTCACCTCCAGAGTGCTTAGATCTTGAAACTGCCATTGAACTATTAAGACTGTGAAGTAACCAAAACATTAGAATTTAATAAGGAAATTTTTCTCGCTTTTCCCCTTTCCCTTTTGCCCCCCCTTTCCCTTTTCGCCCCCTGCCCCCCCACCTCTATGTTTCTTTTTGTATATTGGTGGTTCTAGTTTGTACAAGTTTGTATGACTCAATTCATTTTTTGCCTGTGATATTATGGACAGATTTGCCTGAGACAAGATTATTTAATTTCTATTAACAAGGTACTCTCTAGCAAGACCCTATTACAATCCTTTTGAACCTGCTGCGTTGTGAAACTAGAGGGTTGTGTTAAGATGGATGAGATCTTACAAAGAGTAGTTGTCTGAGGTTTATTTGCTTGGAATAATTGAACAAGTTGCACAGCTATTTAAATAATAGTCTTTTATGATCAAGTTGCAGCTAATCTGCTGACAACTACAGCTTCAAGCATGTTGAAATTTGTCATAAGGGCAAGTTAGTGCAGAAGTTTTACTGCTATTGTCCTTTCATTAACAGTGCCATTCTGCTCCCTTTCTAAGTTGGAGAAATTGTGTAGTGACACTTGTTTAGAAATTTTAAAGAGTTATTTCTGATAAGATTTAGGAATATTTTCAAAGTAATTAAGTTTAATGACATTTTCCATCATTAATGCTCAAGTCTTATTTTAGAAACAGCTGTTAGTAGAAAGCTAATTGATGGAGAGTCAATATTTCTTTCGAAAGAAAGTGTAAGTGCTGTTTTCAAAATTATTAAGAGTTTAAAATCATCTGTGATGTTTTTAAGAACAGCACATAGTACTTGCTTCTCATAAATGCATAGGACTAGAAGTATTGGAAGTATCTAAAGAGGAATAACAAAATCAGTGTAATTTACATCAAAAAGGATTCAAGCGAGATGCCAGTAAAACTGAAATGATCTAAATAGGGATCCCATATTCCACTCTTCTGAAGCTATTGAGGGATTAGCCTACAATATACTCGGTGCTCTATGTATGGTGGAGGGTAGGGTGAAATGTGCCTAACCATTTCTCTGATTTTGTGAAAGAAGGCATAAAAAGTCTAAATGTAGAATTACAATACTGTTGTTCATTTCTCAATACAGTCATTTTCATTGATAAGGAAGAAAATAATTCATTATACTGGCTTTGATCAGAAAAAACAAGCAAATGCTGCATTCCTCATTGGCTCTTACGCAGTAAGTATTTTTATTGTTACTCTCTACATCAGAATATTAAATGCTTTCATTCTTTCATACTCAGTTTTAAAATATCAATGAGGAAGTAATTTTTCCCTTTACTAATCTTCCTACATGTATATTTTATAATAAGTTGTCACATTGGAAGACATTTTTTAAGTTTTAATAGGAATGTGTAGATGGGGCTTTGGTTTGTATGACTTTGTTTCCCCCCCCTTGCAGTCTGTGCTTCTTAGCCACATAAATCCTTCTGAAGAAGTAAGAGTACTGCTGGGCAAAATTATTTTCATTTAGAAAAAAAAAAAAAAGACTGCACAAATCTTCCTCTTCTTCCAATGCTCTGTTTCTCTTTTCAAAATAGAGAAATATTATCGTGCACAAAATTTGGCTTATCATTTCCTATTGTGTGCACTTTAAAATACATGATTTCTGCTCTCATTTCTAAAGTGAAGTAATCTCTTCAGGTAATCTAGGAGGAGTAGCAAGATCATATATGGCACACATAGAGGCAGTATAAAGGCAGGGAATGTTAAGGTGGCTGAAAATCTACATGGGTCAGGGCCCTGATTGTGGAGGGGAAAAAATGACTTACTTTGTATTAAATCCACCTGTAAAAGAATTGCTGTTTGGTGCTACCAAATGGTAATGTGAGAATAAAATGCTTAGTGCTTAAGAAGGAAAAAAATGTGATAGCCAATATTCATCTTTTTGCTTTGGCTTGTACTATACCTTCATTGCAACCGTATGTTCTCTTATTCATTCAGTAAGAAAGTGAAGAAAGCCTGTGCATTTCTCATGTAGGAGATCTGAGGGGTCAGAATTTGGGTAGCCCTAGGTTGATCCTTGTTATTAGCTGCAAGGCTTTATGATGTACTCGTTGTGGCGCTGGAGGTCTCCTTGCTCTTCTTTACGTTACAGCAGGAGTTCCATTTCCTGCTCCGCAGTGTTTTCTCTGTGGTCTATTTTCCAGAGCACTCATAAATAAAGAACTTGCGTTTAAAATGTGTCATTGGTCGTGTTTGAAACACACAAAAGCTTTAGGAATCCTGCTGTTGATCCTTACGTTCTTGGTTACTAAGCTTGTTTGTAATTGGGTTGTAATTGAATTGTATTTGAAGCAACATCCAAGATGATGAAGTAACAAACAAATGGCAAAACAATCTTATTTGAAAATATTGTGGTTGACTGCCTTGAACAAAAAACCTAACTGTATTTGTGAAAATTCTGTAGCCTTGCTATTTTGCAACAAGCATATGGAGAGAATCCTTGAATAGGCTTGCGTAAATGCCTGAGGTCTTAGACTACTATGGCTTGTGGTGGTGCAAAACAGTGCGGTTAAAAAGAGAGACCTTTGGACAGGGTAATAAACAGCTTTTGCTTCAGAGAACTGCACCGAAGGAGACAGATGATGCAGAGTACAGGCAGGATGCTAGCACAGAAGCTGGAGGGAATGGGAAAAGACTTGGGAAATGGGAAATCATTTCTTCACAGATTGATGTGGGAAGGATTCCAGTGAGGGAAGATCACAGAAGAAGGACTCTACCCCTGAGGCATACTTCTTTTCCTTACACTCTTTGATGGCCTTTCATGAAGAGTTGCACTTAATTACTGCAGTCACTTTTGAAGTGTTTAGACAAACATTTAATGTTTCCTCTTTCTGTAGGGAGATTTTAGTTGTTCTCCATCTGGTGAGCAATTGCTTAAGACCTCTTCAGGATGCATGATAAGTTTGTGTCTGTAGTCATATTTCCTTATTGAAGAGAAATGTATTGAGGCTTTTTCTGCTTTAAGTGTATTTAGGTTTAAACATCCAATTACTTCATCAGTCTCAATGATAAAAACTTTGTTTTCTGACGAAGAATGAACTGTTCAGCTGTTGGGCAAAATTTTATAAAGCTTTTCTGTAATTTTAGTTTATTGTAGCTTAGATCTGATGATAGTACTACTTGCCATTTGAACTAAAGAAGGTGATTTAATTTCTAATTTCTGATCTCTTGCTTTTAAAGTGATTGGTTGTCAGTGTATTTTGTGTACCATGGATAGAATTTTTTTCTCTTTTTAAGCTTCAGGTGACTTCAGGTTGAGGAGAAACATGACAGTCTACCAGGATGGATAAGTTTAAGTGGGAAGAATAAGAAAATAGAATCGGGAAGTAGCGTTCACAGAGTTATCAGTAATACAGTACTTGTCTGTGTGTGTAAGGCCTTCAATGCCTTCAGCCTCGTTTTGGAGGCAAGGTACAATACCATCACTGCCGGCATGTTAAGTTGATTAGGAGTAAGCCTGCCAGCTTTCAGGAATGGTGCAGGCACAGTAAGCATGTGCACGCTTGCTTGTTTTCTTCGTTTGCTCTAAATGCAAACATACTTTGACACATAGCTATGTGAGTGTATAAAGAAGTAAATATAGCAGGCTTTTTCTGTGGATCCAGTGCATCTGAGAGCAAATGCTCTGTGTTGTTAAGCTGGCAGCTTGTTAAGTCTGCCATGTTAAAGTCTGGTGGACCCTCATCTGCATTCTGTGCAGTCTTAAACAGATGTTGTTTAACTTCAGTTTAAACAAATTGGAATATATTGGCAAGATTATTATTTGACCCCTTTCATTTATATGTGTGTACATATGCATTACATATGGATATATTGTGGGGATATGCTAATTTTGACTACTAAATCAATTACGAAAGTCTTCTTTAACTGTGGCGAAGTATAAGGGCAACTGTTAGTGTTCCAGTGACAAGCCAGGTCTGTTCCCTGTCTTTTCTTCACAGTTGGTGTTTTAATGTTGCCTCCGACTGCTTCATCTAACTTGCCTTTCCTTCCTCTTCAGTGGAGATGGTTTCTGAAGGGGCTCTCCAGGATGCACACTCCTTTCTTCCCTCTCCCGCAACCACTGCTTCTTTCCAGGTGTCCTTTGATGTGCCAGCACAGCAAAACCTAAGCCACAGGCTTCTTCAATATTAAATAGCCTTGAAGATGAAGAACAGAGTTTTAAATACGCTGTTATATATGTAGTTTCATGCCACATTATTAATTTTAAAGTGAATCTTAACCATTTAGACCCTAACTGCTTTATCATTCATCTTCCATCTAGCTTAATACTGTATTTTGTTTAATTTTTACAGATAGCAGCATAATGTACAATGGGAATAGTACTCTGCCATGTAGAGTAGGACACATGAGACATTTTCAGCCACACAGAGGGTGACATAAACTCAGTGTGGGGGGCCAATGTCTACATGTTCCCTGGGAAGTGGAGGGAAAAGAAAGGAGGGGAGAGAAAACTTTTGTTTTTCACCTTTTAAAGAAGAATTGCTTTTCCTTGGAAGTGATCTGCACTGTTCAGGCCTTGCCACCCTACCAAAGCAGCAGTGATCTTCTGAGCTGATCTTCACAGTGGCTTCTCTTGATTCTCTCCAGGACTTGGCTGTGGGTGAGGAAAGCCTTCTTCTTCCACCATTTCTCCTCCTGTATTAAGAAAGAAAATGTACCCCCTGTGCCCTGTACACCCAATTCCCAAGCTCCCCCCTCTCCCCTTCACTGCATTAACTTAGTAACAGTGTTTCTTTTCTCAGGCTGGGCACTAATTATGTACTTGGAGGGCAACCCTCCGTGGGTACCGCCCCACGAACTGCTGTAATTCAGGTCATCTTCTCCAGGACCCATCTCTGTACTTTGTCTATTTTCTCATCTTCTTTCTTCAGGGTAAGCAGCGTTTCCTTCATCTGTTGTGATCCATGGTACTGTTTTTGCCTTTGCTAGTGCCCTTCCTAGGTGTGGCCTGTCATTGGATAAAAAGTGAAGCAGTAGAAGCAAGTAGTACCAGTCTGTTTAGTACCGAACTGTGCTGCTCTTACAGTGGCTTTTGCAGAGTTACCTGTGATAAGCAGTGGGAAAGTAGGTAAACTGCCTGTTCATGGTCCAAGGACAGTAAAAGCAAGTGGTCAAGTGCTGTGGTGCTCAAATTGGAAGTGGGTAAACTGTGTTTGCCCTCAGCTATGTTTCGGCACAGCGTTTGGAAAATGCTGGAAAAGTGAAACCCAGAGAGGAAATGGAGAAAGAAGGACCTACTTTTCATCTAAGAAAAGTCGCCTTAAGTCTTTTGTCTTTCTCTGCATTAAAGTCTTCTCTAGAAGAGCTACCTCCTCTAAGCTGTGTTTTCAAAATCATGATTAGCCTTCATGACGGCAGTTTTTCCTGCTGTTTCTACCAGGTTCTTTCTCAGCATGTTCTTAGGAGCCTCCTTGTGTACAGAGTAGGAGGGTTGGGTTGTTCCCCGGCTGCCTCGCTGTAGCACCCGCTTCCTTTCTCAGCTCTCATGCCGTACAGCCAGCCTGCCCAGCCCCGTGTGTTCTCAGCTCCGTCGCTGGAAAGTAATTTGACGTTTATTCCTTCTGCTTATGGTGAATGAAGAGGGTTGTCAGAGGCAGGCAGTTGTTCCCTCTCTGCCACTTTTATCCCCTTGCTTCCATTAATCAAGGTGTATTTGGCCACTCGTACAAACTGACGGAGTTTTTTTGTTTGTTTGTTTTACTTTAATGTATTTCTAGTTTAATTTTGCTATTTTTAACCTTAGTTAGTCATTTGTTAGCTGACTAGTATATTTGGTGGAGGCTTTAATGAGATAAAATGTTTAATACTGAATTTATAGTAAAATTATGCATATTCATGAACTTGTGTTAGAGCCCACTCAGTGTCATATAGGACTTGGTTTATTGATTCAGAATTGGTTTGTGTTTATTTGTAGTTTACAGCTTTCGAGAGTATTTTGGGTGATGTTTTTAAACAGATGTATTGCCAGGAATGTGCTTGTATTGATTTAAAGTCAATATGTTTGGTGAAATACACTGTTTCATTAGCTTTCCTATTAGATTTTGCAGTTCAGATGTACAGGAAAACAAACTGGATTACACAAAGCACTTTATAAATGTTAATTCAATGTGTTATTTACAAGCTTTCATTGATAATTTTTAACAATTCAGTATATTTAAATATCAGGTTTAATTTTTTTAAAAAAGCAAGTTATCAAAGGACATTATCAAAGGTACGTTGTCCTGCCTGCAGTATTGTTATTTCATTTGGTAATCCCGTGTATTAAGCTTGCTGACAGAACTCTCATTCCATGGTTAATTTTAAATGCTCAGAAATAAGGACTGGGTAGCCTAATCTTGCAAGCCCTTCTGTTTAATTCAGTGATTGCTGTAATGACTGTTGGGCTACAAGGCTTGTGGGCAGGAGCAGTACTTGAGTGCACCTTTCACAGTGCTCAATGCTTGGATGGTTCTTGACCATCCACAGAGCTGCATGCAATGTCTTAATTAGAAACAGATGTCCTAAATGAAAAGCATGATTAGAGCAATGTTAATGGTTCAGTGCTAATTGCAAATTTATGGCTGTATTTTCAGCTCAGCTGGATTTTCTCTATGTGCATAAAGAAAGCAACATTGATACACACATGATTATACAGGGTGACAAAACAGTGTTGCTTAAATAAGTCAATTTCCTCATGTAACCTTTTTTTTTTTTTTTCCCCTCCCTCTGGAAGGTCTCTAAGTAAAGGACTTGTAAAGGATTTTGAGAGTGTTTTTGTCTCTCTCAGTGTGCATGCATTGTGTGTATGTATTTCACCTCAGTGACTTCTACTCTTGTATATTTTTATTTGTGTAGGTTTGTCCCACCATCACCACATACATGCACACATAAACACACCTATCTTATGAATTCAGAAGAATATCATGAAATGTCTTGGTTTTGCTGCTCATCAGTTTAGTATTTCCATTCAGTCCTGAAACTTAGATTCTATTTATGTCCTTAGAAAGTCCTTATTTTCTCCATCTACAACGTATCTCTCTAAACTAACTTTCTAGATTCCATTCACTGGCTTTCTTTGATCTCCTGCTTTCATCACCGACATCACTCCAGTAATTTTGTTCTCCTTGGAGGCTTGAGTGAACTCTTTCCTGGACAGGAATATTAGCCAACCTTTTGCTGTTAGATATTTTTAGTGCACCTATGGTTTAAATTTGGTTGGTTGTTTTGGGTTTTTTTTTTCATTTGTTTTTTGAAGTGGATCTTCTCTCCTCTCCCTCCTGAGCAGACTCTGGGTACCTCACAGGGCAGCGTGGGAGCCCCCCCCAGCAGCTAGTGGATATTTGCTCAGCCGGAATGACTGGAACTAGTGTGCAGCTAAAGTCCGTGAAGGTGCACGGTGAGGTGTCAAATCATCAGTACCAGATCTTGGTCTGCAGAGCTCTTTCTGTTGGTGCCTGTTATTTTCCAGGGTAGATGTGATCTCTGGTGCCTTCGCTTTGGTTGCTCCTCTGGGCTTTGCTTCTCTTTCTGTCGCTGCTTCAGGGTCACCTGTTTGGAGTCACCCAGGTTCAGCTTCCCACCAGCCTCACAGCCATCCAAGGGTGTTTGTTATCCTGTGGTCTGGAACAGTGCCAGAGCTGATGTCCTCACTTGGGCTGTTGTGTTACTGCCAGGATACTTTCTTTGTGAACTAAGTACTAGTTTATGGTCTTTTCCATTTTGTCTAAAAACTGAGTACTCTTCCCTTTTGAAGGACTCCAGATCATCCTTTCAGCTGTTCAAATAGTGCTATTTGGCAAGCCACTTTTCACTAAGAACACCATATGACCATTTCATCTACACCTGCCTTTTCAGCTGTTCACATATTGTATCTTAGGTGTGTAATAGTGTCAAGTCTGAAGTACAACAGGATCTCTCTTGTTCGGAGAAGTTCTGAGAACTCCAGCTGCATTGAAGAGCTTCCTTCTTCAGTGCATGTACTCAGTGTTGCTTCAGACGTACTTTCAGACGTACGTTCCATTTTTGCTTGGTACCAGTTCCTTTGAGCTTGCACACTGGAAAATGCCATGTCCTTGAAATGGGTTTTCTGAATGCACTAAATGATGTGGTGAGTGTTCATATAGCTCTGTTAAGTAAATTTGTGATCATTCACGCTTATGTTCAAACAGTCTTTCTAGCGTCTTCATCACTTAGGTCATATCTTAAGTTGGATCTATGCTTAAGAATGAATGTTGCAGTATGGTGTAATTAATGTTTCTTAAATTTCTCTATGCAACACTAAGGGCAAAACCTGCTCTTGCTGCTGTTGCTTTTGTAGACAAACATTTTTGCTCGTAGATCTTCTTTTGCTTAGGAATCTGGTGAGAACAGAGTGTGGAAGGAGGCCTTACCCCTTCTGGGACACATGTGTGTACAGGGTTCGCAACTGCTACCTACATTTCTGTTTGCTGATGGTGTAAGTAGTTGGCCTGTACTACCAAACCTTGCACCAATAAATGCCAAACTTCTCCTTCTCTGCGTACAAATTGTTTCTGATGATTATCTACAGTCTCTTCCTTTTGTTAGTACCATTCTACTGGGCAGGGCTTCCTCCACACTCTGGTGGGGAAGAAGTGCTGTGTTTTACAGTTTTTGGCAGTCTGTATCACTGTGGCCACTGTAGCACAAAGTGGCACAAATTATCACTGTATCAAAGCACAAAACCTTCAGTTTCTTGGAATATAACCTTCATGTCCAGTTTGTGCAGTGATTTGTAGCAGTACAAGACTGCAAAATCTACCTAGAAGGTGAACCAAGACACCTGAAGAATACAATAAATAATAAATAAGAGGACAAACAAAAATGAGCCAGTCACTTCAGTATGTGTTTAGCGCTCTGTTGGGCATGTGTTTCAAGCTGTCTGTGTCTTGCCCACCTTACATTCCCAGCGCACAAAAGTGTGTGTGTGTGTGTGTGTGTGTAGAGGATTTTAAAGGTATGTTAAGCCATTTGTTAAAGCTAAATTTGCAGCAAGAAATCTGGAAGGTGGTGCCAACTTTTAAAAGAAAAAAAATCAAACCATCAGACTTAGATTTCTAGAGGGTGTTTATTGAAAGTTCATTAGGGTTCTTTAAAATGAACTCTAAAGAAAATTGTAATTAGTATAGGAAAAATAAATATTTTCACAGAACTCTGTTAAAATAATGAATTGTGTTAATGCTTAGCTAATGCAGTTTTTTAACTTTGAATTATTGAACGTTCACGTATTGCTGACAATTTGTTATTAGTGAGTTATTCTCTTCTGGCCGTGCTGGTGATGGTGTTTGATGGTCTGGAGCAGAAAGCTTTGGAAAACATGATCTGCATAAAAAGACTATGTAAGGAGAGCTTAGTGCTAACAAGTCAGTTATGTGGTGAGGGGAGACCACGCAGATGCTTATTGGGAGTTGTTCGTTTGTTTGTTTATTTTTGCAATTCTAGTACTGTTTCTTGAATGTTTTCCACAATAGAAAGCTTGTGTTTAGTCTTTCTAGTATGTTGCTTTAATATGTCCTCAGGATTTTACTTAAGCCACAGATTTCTTTTTCCCATTATGGCATCTGGATTTAGTTACTGAACACTGCCTCACCAGTGCAAGGAAGGAAGTAAAGGATTTGAAATAAGGCAAATCTTCTTTAGCTATAGGAAAATCAAAACATATGCTAATTTCTGTTTTAACCTAGTCTATTGAGTACCTATGCTGTTTTATGGACAGACTAATTCATAGCTTTGCTGAAGTATTTGAGGGGTTTTGTGCTTTAAAATACATCTTACAAGCTTAATTTAAAAAAGGCTCCAAACCGGTCCAGGCAGGCTACAGTAAGAATATAGAGGAGTCCAAATTAACAGATTTTTTTTTACTGTAGCTAGAAGCTGGATAATGCCTTGGGAAATCTGTAGATTAGTATGAAAATAAATGCACAAATAGCATTATATATTGGTTTGATTTAATTTTATTGATGCACACTTGTATTCTTTTTTGAATTGTTTGTCATATGTAATGGGTGACTTAAAGGTGTTCATATTAATCATAAAGTAACCATAATTTGTTTTCTCTCTTCTCACAAAAATAGATAATATACCTGAGAGAATCCCCAGAAGATGTGTATAGGCTTTTATTGGCTGGAAACATTTCATATCTTCCCTTCAGGTAAATATAAAGAAAACAGAAGATTATGTTGCTTGACTTTCCATTCTTTCTGTTCTCTCTATTCTTTCCTGAATAGTTCAACGTTTAACAGTCTTAATTTCTTTTTTTTTTTTCCTTTTTACTGAACTTTCAACGCATGACGCATTTACTGCCTTAGCTTTGAGTACTGACTCCTGAACAGGGTCTTGGCAGCTGGTTCTGAGGTGACTTGAAGGACACTGAGGAGCTGAAGTAGCTACACTGCTTTGAATATGCTTTTTTTGAGCTTTTTAATTCATGTTGTCCTTTGCTTGGCAGCCTGTTTTTGTGTGCGTACGTAGTAGTTAAACATATCTACATATCTAAGCCATCACAAATGGCTTACAGTGCTTTTGGTACTCCCTTTTTTTCCTTACTTGCTGAATGCATGAAACAATCTAAAGTATATTTTGTGGGCAGAAAAAAAAAATAGTAGTGCTAGCTAACCTCATTTGATTTAGTTCAGCTTTAAAACATTTCTTTTTACCAACAAGGAAAAGCATACAATCATTACTTTGTGGTTGCTTGGCCCTCAGGGAATGTGATCATAGCTGTTGCAGACCACAGACTTCTCATTATGGTATCTAATATGCTGCTGCTTTATGTAGCAAATATGGTTGATCCATCCTGCAGAGGAACAGCTTTTTAACACCGGTTTCTGAAAGTTGGACCAAACCAGCTTTCACTGGCTGCCACAGTATTCAGGAAAGAATGGTCAAAAAGCTTTTCCGAAGGCATGTTGACTGTCCGTTTATGTTGTTATGGGGTGATTAATCCAGTCCTTGGTTGTTTATGTTTTCCATCTGCCTTGCCAAGAGCTGGGATTTGGTGTTTTGAATTTCCTTCCCCCACCCACCAAGAGCACCAGTGTGTAGAAGCGCCTCTCTCTATATGCATGCTTTCATCATCCTATTTTTTCTTTCTTTTTAATTCCATTTTTTAATTCACAGAAGCACATAAATGCTGCTTAAGGAGACCTGTAAGGAGACATGGCTAGGAAGGGAAATAATAGCTTTTATCTGTCTTTGAAACCCTGCCTGAAACCTCAGATCATCATCACTTCAGGGGAATACTGAAAGGAATGCAGGGACCTTTTATGTAATAGGAATTACTGCAAGTTGCCGTCTAAAGACAGCATAGATATGTCCAGCCAATAGGATAAGGAATACAGTACAAAATCCCTGCCCAAGTATCTAGGAACTTGACCATATTCTTGAATCTGCTAGTGCGTTTAAATCTACTGCACATAGAAAAATTCTGATGAACACAATGGTGAGCTGAGATGCTACTCTTGACCCTATTTCTTTCAGGTCTTACTTGTCTCCGAAAAAAAAAGCTTCATCTTCTCATAGAACAATAATCATGTAGTTGCTTCTTCTGGTCATTATAAACAGGAAGCATTTTATTAACAGGATACAAAGAATTTCTTTTATCAGTTTCCTGAACAGGATTCTATTATTTCCTTCTTCTGCTATTTTTTCCCTCATCCTCCTGATTCATAAGGGAGGATAGGGATACAGGAAAGTGTAGAAGTCGCCATTTAGGTAGTTCAGAAGTACATCAGTGTGTTTATTGAATTTTAAATACATGCATAAATACATATGTAATTCTTTTTACTTTATGTCACATTAATACCTTTCTGTTTGTGTATGAGAACTGTGTAGTTGTTATACAGAATTCTCATGTTTAAACCTAAACTACTTTATGCACCTCAAAGATCGTCTTTTTAATGTAGTTAGACAGATGTGTATCTTGGTAGATGTGTAGAGAAAGCATGTGCACCACATGTTCTTGTTTTAACAGGAGCCTTAGCAAAAAATACTGCTGAATATTACAATTCAAAGGATTTTTCTGGGTTTGTACTTCAATGAGAAATGTTTCAAGAGCGTGTATCAGAACATGATGTTCATTTGGGCATTAGTTTTTGACGTGAAGAGTTTTTGCAACTTTTTTTTTCCCCCCAAGCATGCATGTGTTTCTTTAACATTAAAAGTTCAGCATCTCTGTTTTACCAAAAAGCATGATTGGAGTAATCTTAGTCTTGGTTCATCTGTTAGCATAATCTGTATTATGTTATATTATTACCAGCTGCAAATTAATCATTCAGTGTAATTATTTTGCTGTAATAGTAATTATCTTGAAGTAATCATCTTTTAAAGTTGTTTTTAGAGAAATAACTGTAATTGCTGACTTGCATTCACACGGGAACAGTTTTGGTCATGAAAACACATGTGTTACAGGGATGCCTCATTTGGGACTTGCAGTTTTCATTTAACATTGCTGGACTGTTTCCATGCAATAAACAAGGTCAGTAAAACTGTTTTTTTCTTATTGAAAAAGGTCAACTTATAAATTGTAAGCTTATAAATTATGCATTGTAACAGATCTTCGTAAGTAAGGCATTTGTGTTTGACTGATATATATTCAACTAGAGAAGTTTTTAAATAAGGATTTTCGATTTTTGTTTGGGTAATCTTTTCAGAGCAGTAATTTGCACCTCTAAACACTAGGTGTTGCCTGACAGTTCTATCAAATGGCCCTCTGGTGTTGCATTTTTAGGCTGAATACTCCCTTTGAAAGAAGTTGTGTATGGCTTAGTGATGCCTTTTAGGCATTTGCAGAATGTGCTAATGACTTCCAAGTTTTACCTTAGAAATACAAATCGAACAAATGGTAGGAGCCAAAAAAAAAAAAAAAAGAAAAAAAAGAAAGCTACAAATCAGCATTATCTGGTGATAGTGATGAAGGCAAAGCAGTGATGAAGGAATGTGGAATTTAAAGACAGGGGAATTTCCTGTATATTCGTTGTTCTTTTTGGTCTGTACAAGCAGTAAAATAGGGAATTCTGTAGCTTTTCTCTCTACTACTGTCTTTTCTATTATGACTGTCTTTGGCAAATGCTGGTGTTCTTACTGATTAAATCAGCTTCCTGCAGATTTGTCATTTGCAGGTTTTTTGGATGTTCTGACATTGGCTGCTCTTCTGCCAAGAATGGTGAATTGCTATTCTTGTCAGTACTGATGAGCAGTACTCAGAAGGAAAACCCCAGAAGGTTGTGCAGCAAAAGAGAAGATTAGAATGTGGTATTTAAAATATCCAGGAATATGAGATTATCTATGTTTGTGCTTCCCGATTTAACAAATGGCTAAACTTACAGTTACCCAGGTATTTAATACAGTATAAAAATGTAAAGATAATGCCAGTGGATAATTACTGAGTGTCAGGGACCAGGCTAAGGTTTGCTTAGGACTGTAGAGGGACTCCCTCTGCAGCCAATTGAAAATCAATAAAAAATTCAGAAATGTAGTGACAGAGAGTAGAGTTCATGCACCCAAAATATTTGTAATCCTTGAAAGTAAGGTTTAGAGCATGCTCCTAATTTAAATACTAAATTTTTGCCAACTATTTTTTCTCTTTTGCACTCTGTAGTGCTAACAGGAGTAAGAAAGCATGAATTTATGTAAGCTAGAATTTTGTAGTGATTAAAGGAAAACATAAAAAGCGTGGGCTGTCTTGTTTACTGTCACCTGTTCTGATTTTAGGCTTTGCGGTATGGTTTCCTGGATTTCAATGTGTTTGATGTAAATGAGTATGAGCATTATGAGGTAAGTGTACAATATGCGCAGTGTAAATCTTCTAGTTTGTTTACAGCTATTAATACAAAGATGGCTGTTTTATCATTTGTATTCTTTTTTTTTTTTTTGTAGTGTAAGGGTCCATTTCTGTGTTCTGCTTTGTCTCCTTAAGCTTCAAATATTAAATAGAAGGAGTTGTCAGATTAAAATTCAGATTTAAGTACAGTCAAGCTCAAAAATGAGGGAAAAGGGTGGATCATGAAGAACCTAAAAGGGAGAACTTTTTTTTTTTTTTCTCCACGTTTCATTAAATAGTTAGTAGTTGGGGTTGAAGGGGAGAGGAAATCTGTTCCTTGGACATTTTTTTTTTGAGGTTATCTATTCCTAAGTAATCTTAATAAGAAATTGAGGACAACAAAAGCCAACAAGACACAAGCTTGCTGAGAACAGTTAAAATGTGTATCTGTGAACAGATGACAAAAACCTAAACAACTTTGAGGTAAAGAGAAAAACAGGGCTGGGGAAATCCAAACCTGTAAAATTCGCTCTGGGCCGTGATAAACTACTGTGGAGGTAAAGGGCTACAATACTTTCTTATACATTTTCTTACAAAGGCAAAGCAGTCATTTATCTGTAAGGAACAAATTTGGTGTTTTTAGAATCTAAAAAATTACTTAGTAGACAAAGGTTATACCAAGGCCATCATTTATAAACCTAAAATGTTTTAAAAATTTAAGTTGCCTTTCTTCTGAAAGGCATCATTTGCATTACTTTAAGACTGTAGTTTAGAAAAAGGAGAATTCAGTAAGAAGTGTGAGATTGAAAGCATCTGGCTTTCTCCTGATGAAGCAAAAAGCAGGCCACTAACACACTTCCTTTGGCAAAAATTGTACATCACTTCTATTTAGCATGTTATTTTGAAACAGTAAGGAAAAGCCTGAAAATATAGGGTTAATGATAAACCAAGCATTTTCTCTTGACAGAGAGCAGAAAATGGAGATTTTAACTGGATAATACCAAACAAATTCATTGCCTTCAGTGGACCTCATTCAAGAAGTAAAATTGAAAATGGTATGCTTAAAAAAGGAGGTGGGGGACACAAGCCCACTGCTTTTAGTTGATTGTTACCAGTAAGAACAAGCTTTAAAAATTGTTCCTCAAACAGTGTGTTTTTTCCTTGGATATTTTTCTTTTATAGAAATCCCGATAGTAAAATTTTAATGCTTGGTTTAATTGTATCTGAATTAGGCGATTATGTTAAAATTCCATTTTCGGTTGGTCAGTTTCTTTATGTTGAACATGAGTTTTATTTTGAAAGTGCTTCAGCTGTTGATTTTTGAGTCTTCACATGTTCCTGCAGTTTGCAACTCATTCTTCTGTTCTCCTTTCTCTGACAGGTTATCCCCACCATGCTCCAGAGGCTTATTTCCCATACTTCAAGAAACATAAGGTCACCACTATAATACGCCTCAACAAAAAACTATATGATGCCAAACGATTCACAGATGCTGGATTTGAGCATTATGACCTCTTCTTTGCTGATGGAAGCATACCTAGTGATACTATAGTCAAAGCATTTCTAAATGTTTGTGAAAGTGCTGAAGGTGTTATAGCCGTTCATTGCAAAGGTATAGTGTACAGGCTTTTTAAATTACGGTTGATTATAGTTATAGTTTCTGAGATGTTTAGCACTATAATTCCTTTATTTCCACTTATTAACAACTCTGATGAGCTGCAGCTTTTTCAAAAAAAAATCTTTAGATGCTTTTGTTCTCCATTTTTTTAACTATTTATAAGATCCAGCAAAATCTCTCCAACAGTTTCCAAGAACGAGGTTGGGGGGGTATGAGCTTGCAGGCATTAATAGTTTGAGCCTTAAACTGGCAAGGTTTATAGTAGATCTTTCAGAGTATGCAGTCAAATGTAACAAAATATAAACTTTTGAAAGTATCAGTAGAACGTTTTAAGAAAAATTTTCATGCAGTACTGGAGTGTTCCTCCAGAGCAGGTGTTAGGAGTCTCCAGCCATTAGAAATCCATTTTACTGGCTGTATTGGACATGTTTGGAATATGTTTCATATCTGGAAAGTTCAGAGTTAGACTGCCAGATGGGGTTTCCATCTAAGCAGAAATGGTGTTCACATCCTCGTTCCTTGACCAGGATTGGACTCACCGTTTTGGATTGCATACACTTTATACAACCCTCTTTCCTGAGGAGCTTTTTGAAACTTTTATTTCTAGTCAAGGCCAGAAATTTATGATTTATGCCTATTTTATTTCAGAGTTTGCCTCAAATCATTTCTCATTGACTCAACAATAGAATTGTTCGTACCATTTCGAGACTCAGCAATCCTTCCTTTGGCTTCATTGCTTTCAGAATTAATGTGCTAGGTGTATGTCTAGTTTAGCTCTGCTGTTTACAATCAGTAATCAGCACTTTATTTTACAGCCAGGAAAAATATCCTTAAAAGCATCTTTTTAACAGTCTATACAAATAGCTATGTAATCTCCTCCTCTAGAACAACTTTACATATGTACTCATACCTTTCAGTTTAACTGGGCAGAGGAGCTTTTGGATCTAAGTGTCTCAGTTAGGCTTTTATGTCCAGTACAGGAACCAGGATAGCTCTGCCTTTGAATTTTAAATGTCCACATTTTTCGTCTTTATTTTGTTTAGAGACTAAGTCTATACAAACAAACCTAACATTAAAATAACAAGAAAAAAAACCCTGATGTGTCAAGTGTTTTAGTTCCCAGTTGCCTGTGAAATGCCAATACACCCCCCACTACATGTGTGTCGCATCCCATTTGTTCTCTGTGAACACTGTCTTAGTAGAGTATCTGACGTAGTAGCTTCCTTCAGTAGCTTCCTTCAGCGTGAGTGAAGGAGAGAAGCCTTTTCTTAAAGGATTTTCCTGGGACATGTGAAGGATGGTTTGTTGTTTCTATTGTTCCCAAATCTGCCATTTACTGGCTGCCGTTTAACAACATTCACCTTGTCTGAAGTGGAAGAATTGGGTAAAAATGCTACTTGACTGTTGGAAAGCAAGTGAATATTCTTTCCTTCCACTGAGATGGGAAAGTTGGATGTACTGGTTAATTGATAGCACTTGAATGCTGGGTAGCAGTGATGCAAATTCTTTGTTTTCATTCAGGTTAAGATGTTCTCTGATCTTTAGCATGATTAAGGTGTCTAAACTGCTTCTGATGCTTCCTCTTCAGAAAATAGTCAATGCTGCCACCTACTCTTCAAGCTGGATAATGCACAGGGAGTGCATTGTGCAGTTGTCTTGACTACTGGCCTATTGAACACTCAGCACGGGTGTTGAGTCAGTCTTGGGAGAGATCTGGTAATGCATTGCTTGGCTTTTAAAGCAAATGATCAAGGAGAAGAGCACTTGAGCTTGGAGCTCTCTTCCTTTCTTTTTGGAAAGAAATGCACATGTTTATAGCACTCTTTCAAAGAAAACGTCTTGGTTTCAAGTACTCTTTTCCTCTCTTGGCTAGTCTCCAGATTTCCTTATTGCAAAATTTAGTCTTAAGAAGTAAAAACAGTATTTTTTAGAAGAGGGATTGGAAGAACAACAGTTCTTAGTACATTTCATCATGCGTAATTTACAATTAATGTGCTTTGAGAAAATTGGGAAGAAGCAGCTATTTGATATTATACATAAAAAGATTCTCGTTAAAAAAAAAAAAACACATATGTATGTATATAGTCATATATATGCTGGCTTTGGGTGGAGGGTGGGGGAAAATCAAAAGGTAAGTTACACACTTAATGAGTTTGACCAGAAGCAAGTTTTATAAGCTAGGATTGCCTAACAATGTCCGTAGCCATAGAAAGTTCCGTATAGAAACTGATACATTATAGAATGTGTTATTTTCTCTTACACAGCTGGTCTTGGTCGAACTGGCACCCTCATAGCCTGTTACGTTATGAAGCATTACCGGATGACAGCTGCTGAAGCTATTGCCTGGATCAGAATAAATAGACCTGGTTCTGTGATTGGACCCCAGCAACACTTTCTGATCGAGTAAGTAGATTAGCTAGGACAAGTAATCTTGAAAATGAATCTAAATGTTTTTTCTTCCTTTATTGCAATCTTTGTCAACTGATATTTTAATTTATTACTTTTTCTCCATATCATGATAGGAAACAGGCAGAACTTTGGACAGAGGGAGATATTTTCCGTGCAAAGATGAAAGAAAATCGTAATATTGCTGTGACAAAAATCCTGTCAGGAGTAGATGATATTTCAATTAATGATGCAAAAAACAGGAGAGCCAGACAAAAGGACACTGAACTGGTAATTGTCTGAACCAATAACCGCTGTTGTGAGAGGATAGATTTGGAACCTCCCTATGGATTCAGTGTGTTACTGGATTTGCTTTGTATGTGTCTATTCTGTACCAAAAGATTGGGAGGCACAAAGAAATATGTTCAGCAAGTATGAAAGATGAAATGCTGCACAAGTAAGAGCATCTTTATCGTGCTTTACTTTGTTATTCTGTTAATATCAGAACAGGCAGGGACTCGAGATCTGCATTTGGAAGTAGTTTGATTGAATTTGGGATTTTGTTTTTATGTTACCATATGTACTCTTGGAGAAGGAATCTGTTGTTTTTGGAAGGCAAATGGAATAAGAGAGAAATGTTGTAGTTGAGAGAAAAGAGTGCCATAGCACAAATCAAAGTTTTAGAATGTGTCTCTGCTATTTTTAAAGATAGATAACACTCCAATGTGTGCAATTCATGACATTGTTTAATAGTTTACAGCTTTAAAGGCAGCAGCCAGTAGGAAATAAAATTATATGTATGCAGATAAAATTGCAAAATTCCCTTCTGTTGAGATAACTCTATTTTAAATCTTAAAATCAGAATCAACTCTTAAATCTTTCACTGTGTATTTTATTTTTTTTAACTTTATCCAGTACAGTGATGAAGATGAAACAAACTGTGTAACACAAGGTGATAAACTTCGTGCTCTAAAAAGTAGAAGGCAGGCAAAAACTACAACCACATCTCCACTAACGTAAGTCACTTTCTACACGTATAATGTAAGTTCTGCATGTATAAGTGCCAGAAATAATTTTACCATTTTTTAAAATATCTACAAGTTTGTTGGCAAAGCATTTTACATTCATTTAAAATCAGCATGAGATGCACTGTGTCACTGATGAGTGTTGAGGAGGTAGGAGAGTTTGATTAAACTGTATTACTCAATTTTCTGTTTTTGTTTTGGCTTGGTTTGGTAGCGGATTTTTGTTTGATTGATTCTACTGCCCTGTACTTTACAAATTCCCACAGTATTTCTGAATTTTGTAGTATTCCTGAATCATGTAGATTTAGTTTTATTACGAACATTCCCTTTTACTTCCTATGGTGGTATAAAAATAGAGGACTGTTGTTTTGTATGGTAGTGTTTGACTGTCTGGAATAAGGTATGTACTTGTTTTTAAAGTCAGCTACTTCAGAAGAAGAATAGAAATAAAATCTTTATCTTTGTTTGATTCCTCTTCATTGGAGAAGCATCTTCCCTAAAGCCTGTGGGCTCTGGGAGAATGATCGGTAGACTGGGAAGGCAGCAAGTAGCAGTATTTCACTAAAAGATAAATCAAAACCTGTGCAGTTCTATTAGGGAGCCTGGTATGCTGTTCTCATTATTTGCTGGGTAGGTAGTGCAACATCACCTGCAAAAGAAATTTCACAGTGACCTGTACATCTGTGGTAGCTTGTGGCAACTGCAGGTGGAATAATTTTCTGCCTAGCCTTATGGTAAACCGCAAGGGAGTTCAAGACTTGAAAGATATATCTGGTATTTCCTTTGATTGCTGGGAAATGAATGGCTCCTGCTGTCAGATTTGAGCAGGTAACACAGGTCCAGAATCACAGGACCAAAGGCAACTTGAGTTTTATTAAGCTGTCATTCTATAGTGGATGATGCTCCAAGGCTACTGCTAGCTGCTGGCCTTTTTTATTTTATTTCATTTTTAGACCAAAGCTTTCTTTTACTGAATATTACACTGCAGTAGCTATGCTCAAAATAGAGAGCGGATTAAAAAAAAAAAAAAAGGCAGCAGCAAAAGACAGTTCCAGGGAAAACGCATGACTTCTGTAAGAACAGGAGGTATGTAGCAGGCATACACTAAAGGTGAAGGGATATCTAGCAGTGTGTGGAAGTTTCTAAAGACATACAAATTCTGCATGTGTTTTAAAAGGTGCTTTCTGTCAGTGCTCATCATTTACGTAGATAGTTCTGTAACAACCTGCTCAGGCGGGAGCCCAGAGTGCACTGACATGTAGCCTCTCAGTTCCGTCAAACAGTACAGTGAAAAGTAGCCAACTTGCACACAGTCCTTAATCGCTACTTCGTAATTATTTTTCATAAATGTTAAGTCACTTAAGGCAGTTTTTGAAAAGAAAGAGTTCACTTTTATCTTCTGTATGAAAATACTGTGAGATAAAGTCTATTCATAGCTGTTATTTTAATATGCAGAATGTCTGCAGTTAATATGCAGTTATCAGCTGTTAAAATTCATGAGACATTCTGCATCACTACTTTAATTAAAGCATCTTGTATTTACATGGAATTAAAATAAGTAAACTGGAGCTTGTTGTACTTTTCCATTGTGCGCATTGTGGCTAGAAGGAAACTTCTCTCAATTTTATTTTTACAGGAAATTTGAATTGTGGTGCTTCTCCTCCCAAAATATTTGTGCAGTTTGTAGCAACTGAGATAATTTGGTGAAAATGTATCATTTTTTACTCTTTGAGTTACTATAGCCAAAACAAAATACCACCAAATGTATTAAGCTGCCTTTATCTGAATATCCATCAACCTTTTTTTCCCCTTTTAAATCAGACTCTTTAAAAAAAAATAATACGCGTGCTGTGAAAATTCTGAGTTTTATTTCTTACCTAGTGAAACAGATTTCTAAATCCTCTGCGTAGATTTATTTCAGAGAAAAACAAGGAAAATAAAAACGTGGAAAGCTGGGGAGAGCTAGAGGCATTACTCTCTATAAGTTGTATAAGTTGCAGGGATTTCTGTTAAACATTTGTTATCATTTACTGAAGTAGACTGTATAAATTCCTAGTGTCTTGATGAATGGATGCTTTCTGTAATGGGTTCTAATTAGCAATATGCTGCACCTTTGGCAAAAGGATTACTGATTGGGTTTTTTTTTTTTTTTTTTTGAATTCAGGAAGGTAATAAACCCTCTCCATCTGGATGTTTTGCATAAACTGTTTGTTTATTTCTAGAAAAAGCAATCTGGCTCTAGTTTCATGCTTTACCATTAAAACACAAGATAGTGAAGTACAATCTGTAAACACAAGCTGATCGAACAAATAAGAGATGGCAACAAGTTGTCAGAGAAACTGCTGTAGAGTACGTTTATTTTCAAAGGAGTGATACCAACTTACTTTGGAATAGAAGACTTCAGTGAGGACATCAGAAAAATTGCTTTATGTTGATTCTGGTAACACATAGAGGGAATATTTGACAAGTCATGGTTGATTGGACCTGTTACAGCCACAGGAAACGAGAAAGTACTATGGTGAAGATTATAGAGCAGTATGCTTTTAAAGAACTCAAAACGAGCTAAAACGCACCGATAGCTTTTGCTTTTGAATTTTTGTTCATCTTTTCCTCCCCTCCAACCCCTTTTTTAGATGGCTCCTAGCTATGCTGGTGTCTACACTGTGTAGCATTGTCATCTGGTGGATTGTATGTGGCTCCCTTCTTCCCAGCCTGCTATTCTGTCTAGATGGTTTAAGAACATAGTAACCATCAGGACCCCCTGAGAGAGCCACTGTGTAAGTGTCCCATTCCATTTCTCTACAATAGCTCACATTTGCTGTCTAGTGTGTCTCAAATGCATGCTCTCATATCATGTTTCTTGCTGGCTTTGTTGCAAGAGTAAATTTCACTCTCTCGCACTTTTGTCTTTTTGTGTATATGATTTGGAATAACAGTGATTTTTATGGCTGGCTTGCTATGCAAAAGGTGCAGAGCGTTTAGGTCACTCCATAATTTTTAAGCCTTTCTTTTCTGTATGCTTTTGCAAATAATTGAAGTTGCATTTGTGAAAAAGGAAAGAATAGTGTTTTAAAATTGATCTTGTCCTTTGCATATTGCAAATGAAGAAGTTGAATCCAGTCTTGCTTTGAAATTCATTAGCTTTCAAATATGCATAGTTTCCCAAAGGATGGTTTTACCCACATGATAAACAAGGAATTAGAGCTTCTCAGAAATGTCAGTAGGTCTGTGGTTTTTGCTAAGGAATTATTTTACTATTCTATAGGAGGCAGTAAGGCAGGAAAAATGTAAAAATTTTGTGGTTTTGGGCTTTTTTTTGTCTCTCCCTCCAGCGTGGTGAGAGTGCAGTTTGATCAAGGCACACATAACGCTTCCTCACTCAGGCAATCTGGCTTCATCGTGTGTAGTTCTTAATTGTTTTTCATGGGGCTTCATGAGGCTAATTTAGTCTCTTCTTTTGGTTACTTAGATTCAGGAGCTTAGATTAAATCATTGTAAACGTATTAGTTCCTCAAGTACCATTTTCACTTTTTATTCCCCTCGCTTTTGTCAGAGTGGCTGCACAGGTTGCCGTGTCTAGCCTCCCCTTAAGAGGTGTTAGGTTTTCTTCAAACGGTGATTTTTCATTTTTCAACCAAGTGAAAATTGAACGGTACCCAAGACTGGCTGGCAAACCGCACACTCCATTCTCTTTCTCTTTGCCCAACCTACCGCTATAGAAGGCTTCTTTTTTTTTTCTTTTTGGAGGGGTGCAGGGGGGCTTGTTTTATTTTTTCTTTCTTCTAACTAGTTAATAAGCAAAATGGTTACTATGGGAGCATGCTTGAAATATCAGTGGTCTAAAGGGGAAAAAAAAACAAAAGTCAGAAAGGTTTTTACGTCAGAAAGGGTTTTACATCAGAATGATTAAATTAAAGGACTGTTTCCATCTGAGAATTTTTAAAGTTAAGAACTCTATCTTTCTCCTCAGCCTCGCAACTTTTTATTGTTCACACCTCTAAAAAGCGAACAACTATTCCTCTAAGGAAAATGATGCAATAAGCAAAAAGGAGAGCTGGGGGACTTGGGGTATTTTAACTATCCTTTTAACCTGAGCTGAGATAATTTGCTTTTTGTTGTTATTTTTATTTGTTTATTAGAAAGAAAAAAAAAAGACTTAAAGATGAGTTAGGTTCTTTTTCTCATAGGCACCAAACTTTGCAAAGAACGTATTTATATACAAGGCTTGTTTCCCAACTTGGACACTGAATTTAGCAGTAGCTGCTGTTTCAATATTTTATAGAATTTAAGTGTCAGGTTTGTAAACACAAAGAGACAAATTTATTTCACTACTCAACAAATGAAACAATCTCTCCTTTTGTTCTCCCGAACTGTGAGATGAATTTCACTCAACAGTTTGCTTCCCTCTCTGTTCTATCTGAAACACTCTCTGGCAAGAAGGAAAGAAAAAAGCAGGAAAAAAAAAAAAAAGACTGTTTGATATTGGTAAATTTGTTGTTATGTAAATAATGGTGATCCTGATGGAGGGGCCGTAGGCTGATGCGTTGAGTCCTGTACAACTTGTGTCTCCTGTGTGTGAGGAGACCAGGTTATCGGTCAGGAGGTCCTGGGTGACCCGGCTAGTGCTGAACCCGAAGCCCTGCAGACAGAAGAAACGGGTCCTTCCTTGACCACACGTGACTGCAGCTGCAGTAGGGCTCTGAGGCCTTGGGAGGAGGGTGGCCCGAGGTCCTAAAACACGTAATGGGATCTGGGAGAAAAGGATATTGTGTGTGCCAACCCTCATAGAATGGGTAATGCTGGTAAGCTAAACTTCCATCAGGAGATGAGAGAAGATATGGTGCTGTGTTACCTCTCATTCTTCCCGATGATACTGCAATCAATTAGTTTTTTTAAAAAACCTTTTTTATGCATTTACTTCCAGAGGAAATTACTTCATTGGCTTCCAGGTTTGGGGAGTTTATCGTTTTTATCATGGGAAATGGTGTCAGGATTTTTGTGTCATGTCACTCTTATTCACTCCCATCCCTCCTCGTGCTAGTGAATGAAACAAAGTTGTGAAGCTGTTTAGAGCTTGAGCACTGTTCCAGTTAAGCAGATTTTGATTTGTTTGAAGACCAGCGTATTAGGCTCAATAAGAGAGCAGTGTCTGAATCGATGGGGAATGTGTTAAATTCAGAACTACTTAAGTGATGCTTCCATTACAGATCATCTGGAAATTAAAATTTCTTGGCATTACACAAATCACCTATTTTAATAGTATATAGATAGTAGTATATTGTAGTATGTACGTAGGGGATTTTCTGCATTTTGTTTGTTCTAACCCTATTATTAAGTTAGGATATACAACTACATACAACTATATTGTTGCTATACAACAATATGAATATTTACAACAAGATGAATATTGAAGTGTTTTTGCAAGAGGATATCATAACACTGTAGCATTTTAGTTCATAATAGATAGCACTGGGGGATAAAACCCTGTGAACTGATGCCCCTTTCTGAACTTCTGGTGTCTGGGAGAATGCACACCTGTAAGGGAAACCATGAGATCAGGCTTCAGTAATACCTGCCTTGTTTTCATATGTGCATTGTGTGTTTGTATGTATGTAAGCACACATACAAATCTAATAGGTAGATATATATACACACATATATATCTAAATTGGCATATAACTTTATATGTACATTTATTTTTCCAAATAAATGATACATATTTTTATTTACATCTATCTACACATTTTAGACTATTTTTAAAAAAATGTAACCTTTAAAGATATAAAACCTAAGAAGAATGAAGACTTTATTAAGTCATTACTTTTATTTGAATCTGTTTTTGGCTACTTTCGAAAATGCTGCTGCCTTCCAGGCTATCTATAACTGAGTTTCTGTATATCTGTATATGTAATGAGTATAAAATAGAAGGATTGTAAAGTATGACAAAGTTTTCCTGTGATTTGCCTTATTGACTCAGATATTGCAAAAAAAACCACATGTTTTTCTGTAGTGAAGCAGTACTAGAGGAATGGGCATCACAAGGAAAGAGATTGCTTGTACCTCTTAGCGTATATTCAGTGTTAAATTTAAGGGGAAAGGTCTTTTCCATATTTCTGTTTCCACAAGCACTAAAAATAATAATGTGACATAGTTTGATTATATGCATATTTCAGTGACTAAATGTGACATGGTTAGCGGGATGTGTATCCTTAGATTTAGTCCTTAAAGTTGCTGATGGCATGGATAAGATACAACACCAGGTCCTTCGCCATTTGTATTATGTCCAAAGCTTATTTCAAAATGCAGCGACTCAAGAGTCTGTTCATGTTGTATGAAAATCTTGGAAAAGAGAATTGCTGATATTAAAAATGGTTAGAATTGCTTCATACTAACAGTAGACATTATAAAGAAAACTTTGATGTTTTGAGCTATTTTACTTAAAAAAAATAGAATTCTTTAAAAAAGAAAAACAGATTTTTGTTAGAAGAACCTCTGTTGTCTACTGAATCGTTTTGTAATTTTGAAGGTCTCTGTTACTTGGTTTTCAGCCTCACAAATAACCAATTAGGTTGAAATTTTGTCTGTGTTGTGTTCACAGTAACGCTCTCCTTGTCATAAAAGTCCTTGCAAAGGCAGTCTTGTTTATTTAGGGAGAAGAGAATATTATTTGTTTTGGGCTCCTTACAGATTAAGTTACAAGATTTGCAAGTCTGAAATAGTAAGAGATTTTCAAATAGATAATGAAAGTACTTCATCTTTGTGGTTCTGTAGTCACCCGTTTGCTGCACACTCTGCAAGTAGGCAGTAGCAGGGCTGCTGCCGAGCCTTGTGCCGCAGAGTGGAGAAACGTGGCACAGAACGGATTTTGAGCTGAGCTGTTAGGTCAGGCACGTTTGCAGATCGTCTCTGTCGCTAGTTTTAGTGTCAGACCCAGGTAGAACAGCACTGGCTTAGTGCTTTTTTCCCCCTGCTTTAATAAATGCCTTTTGAAAGAGACATCTGTTTTGAAAATACTGACTCTTGTTTTTCTCCTTTTGTGCCAGGCCACTTCCTTGCTTTGAAATTCCAAGTTTTATGTTCATATCTAGAATTCTTTGAAAGCAGCCTTTTTTTTTCTTTTTTTTTTCCAAGAATATTAAGCAACTGCAGTTTATGTAACTTAATGAAGGGTTTGATTTTTCAATCTAATGCAGTCTGATACAGATGGACTCGAAGTTGCTGAAAATTAGAGTGATATGGTGATTCTGCATGAGAGAAAGAATGAATTCTTAAACCACATATTTACATGAATGTCTTACATGATGCATATGCTGGTGGTGGGAAGCTTGCACAGATAGAATGAGTAGAAAACAGACATCTTGATGATGCCAGGATCAGTCTTGCTGCCTGTGCAGGAAATAGTCAGTGCACGCTGCCCTAGAGAAGCTGTTGAGCACGACCAGAGCCCGGACTTGGGTTGTAAAGGTGATGTAATCATTCTCTGATAGAGCAAAGTGTTGGTGTATTCAGTGTTTTTCTCAGCTTTCTGTATTTCAGGAGAATTTATTTCCCCCCCTCCTTTCACTTTTGGTCCAATACACTTAGGTGTTTCATAGCGTTTGTTTATTTATTTATTTATTTATTTGTCTTTGAAAACTTGAAAGAAAATCCCAACTATTACTTCACCTGTTTTCGAAAGGAGGAAAAACTTAAAACAATTGGTTTTAACTTCATTTTTAGAAGGGCATTATAAAGCAAAGGCTACATGCTTCAGATACTTCAGGCAGTTTGCTTTTTGGAGTGATTACAGGAAATCCGTATGAATGGTAGCTCTGCTGCAACTGTGATAACCTCATTTCACTGTTTTTCTAGAACCTTTCAGGTAATATAATCTTTCTTTTTTTTTTTTCCCCCGACTCTTTTCAGAATAATTCTACAGTCCAGTGTTCAGAAAACTAAAACCTCTGAACCTAGCATTTCTGACTGTACAGACATTACTAAAAGAACTACCAGGTCTGCTGCAAGAAAAAACAATTTAAAAAGGTGAGAGTTACTCTTTAAAGATCAAGACACCATTTTCTAGACAAATATAAGTTTATCCATTGATGATAGGGATGAATTTTGGCAGTTTAACAGCTTCTCCTAGTAAGGAGAAGCGAGTGGCACTGACTTGTTTTTGTCATGCGTTGAGAATATCTGGAGCTTTAAATCTTATGTTGTTTATGTCATCAAGTCTTTCAATTTTGAAAATTTTATAATATTTTTTTAATAAAATTTTTAATGTAAGAATTACTGAGGGATGAGCGATTCAGGTAATGCAAAACTATACTTCAACAAATCTCTGCCTGGAATAGGAGGAGAAAAAGTAGTTCACGGCATTGAGTAAAGTACTGCAAGTCAAAACCAAGAGGAATTAGATGGACAGCTAGAATGCAGGAGAAGGAACAGTCTGGCTGCAAATACTGGAAAGGTGAAGTTTTGAAGCTGTGTGTATTGGTATGAGATTTTGTAATGAAAGAGCAGTTAGATGCAAAATAAACCCATGCTGTCGAGCTTAAGGAACTCTGTACCTCAGATGGATTAGTGCACGACTGGAAGTGCCTCCTGGTGAGGCGGCGCTGCAGCAGCGCCGGCGCCAGCACGTTGCTTCTGCAGGTGCTGGGGCGGCTCCGTGCAAGCGCCAGGGCCGCACGCCTGGTCCCTGCAGCCCCCTCGGCTCAGGGTTATCCCCGTTATCCCTCGGGATTCAGCCAAGAGCCGCCCGAGGGTCCTGCTCTTCTCCTTGCTTGCAGTCCCGGGTCGGGGGAGCATGAGCAGCGCAGTGCCCTGCTTGGTGATGTGCTGCTTTCGTGGGCTCGGGCATCAGCACGCTACAAACACAGAGGAGTTGCACTGAGCTGGCAAGTGCCAGGATAGCAGATTTAAGCCTCACTTTAAATGAAATGGCGTAAAACAATTTCCGATCAGGTTTCTGCAGTTACAAATGACAAGAATTTGTGCTTTAAGTTTGGTGCTGAAGAGAAACTTTCTTACCAAGAAGATTAAAAGGTAGCAAACAAACACTTTTTTTCCTCCCACAGAACTTTTCTTTCCCCTGTCCTCGTTCTGTTTTGAAGATAACAGGAGTTATGAGAAGTCCTCTCCAGTGGGCAGTGGCAACGCTGTGTTTAATAGCAGCCTGTAGGGATATGCTGGTCAAAATGCTAGTCAAAGATTTTTCAGTAGCATCTATGTAAAAAATACCTTTTAATTCATACAATTTGTAAAAATAACTCTTTTTTTTCCTGAAACATATGTTTTACCAGAGTCTGGTGTATTTATGAGCATTTCTTGATCTGTCTCCTATTTGCATTGTTTTAAACATGTCAGTTTTGGTCCAGACAGACTGCTGTGATTCTGGCTTCTCTTCATCCCTCTCTCAAGTTCAGGTTGCTTACAACTATAGTTTCCATATACATACGTATAGACAAGATTAGTTCCTGGAAAATGCACCTTAGAGTAGGTATTTTTGTTGTGAGAGATGAGAAATCTATTCTTAGGAGGAAACAAGATCTCTGCAATTAATTTCATGGAAGACTTCAAATATTTTAAAAGTAACCTCTAAGCTGTATTGACACATTTATGCTTGAGGACTAGGGATCAGGTTTTAAATGATCTCACACTTCATAAAGTATGTGATGCTTTCTGAAACTTCTACCCCAAACTCTTATTCCATGCACTGTTTTTTTTTGGTCTTTTTTTTTTGTTTGATGGTTTTTTTCCTCCAACTTCGGAGTTAAAACATTTTCAGTCAGTTTCTGCTTGGATCATGTCATCAAGGTTGTCTTAAATAGCTATGTTACAGACCAGGAGTTCTTAGTATCTTGTCATCTGAGGGACCGAGTGGCTGCAAGTGCTTTTTAAGAGCTTTTTGAATGTGCTTATGCAGTTTTGTGGACCTCAGATGCAGCGCTTCCCTATTTTCTTATTTGTGTTCTTTTTATTTTCCCCTGGCATTTGACAAAACCTCACTGCATTTTTTTAAGCCTACCATTTCTTGTCTCTTTATTTATCGGAGGTTTATTCTAAATTCCTGAATTGTATCCAGTCTATATAATCTTATAGTGCTCAAACTGATTTATTCCCATTCAAATGTAATGCAAGTAGAAGAGAATGCCTGTACGTAATCTTAGAAAGTTAAGATCTGGACCTAATCTAACTTCTATCTCTCCTCAGGATCCTATTGTCTTCTTCAGATTTTTGACATTACCATCTCTCTTGATTCTTTTATTTTTTTTTTGTCTAATGTGTTCCAATGGAATCATCATTCAGTATTTTTTACATGCATCACAAATTGTTGATGTTGTGGCTCATTTTAGTCGTGTCTTTCTGTGGTCGATTCACATCTGTGATTCCTCCCAGAGCAGTGTAATCTGGAGTTCATTTGCCGTTTCCTCCCACAGACAGAGTGTGTCCAGAGCGATTCTTATCTTCAGCCACAACAGCTATTCACAGCCAAAATACTCTGTTCTGGCTCTTCAAAGGGATCTTGGGGAGCGTGTCCCATTCATAACGTCCGCCGCATCTCCTTTACAGAACATATTTAGATGTCAGCTGCTGTCTAAGAACGATGGCACTAATGGACATAGTCGCTTGTGTTCAGTGGCCGGATGGCACCGTCCTGCACGCACGGAGACCCGAGCCTTCTCCGCAGCTTTCCCTGTGGGTGCCCTGTGCCTAAGGCATGTTTGGCCAGCTCGGATGTGTACCTTGTAAATACGCGACTTACAGAGGTGCCAGAGTCTGTGTTTTGTCCATATCCATGTACCAGATCACTCTGAAAACAAATGCATTGCTTTCCTCTGCTTTGTCTCTACCTATTCTTGCTATTTGAGCACTTTCACTGGATAGATCGACATGCCCTCTCACCTGGGAAGTGAGTACATTGGAAGTAGCATTCCTAAATCTTAACCCTTAGCCTAAGCAAGCGTTGTCCAGCTGGATGCTAAAACGCTTGGAAGATTGGTGTAGTGTCCCCCTCTTGCAGCCGGACACAGAGCAAACCCCGCTCCATGCTGGAGCAGGAAACCCCTGTGTCCCCCTGGACAGCAGGGACCTCTTCCTGCTCCCACAGATCCCCAGCAGATCCCCAGCCCAGATGAACTAAAACGTCTCAAATGAAGCAGTTGTGCCCCTGCTGTTGCACACTGCAGAATTAGGGCTGTGTCTGTAGCGAGTCGTTGATTGGGAATGACACTTCGGTGATGGATTTT